GACCCCCCCCCCCCCCCCCAAAAAAAATAAAAGATTTTCTTGAGACCTACCTCGTGACCCAGTTTGTTTTGGGTTGCGCTTTAATTTAAAAAAACATTTTTATTTTTTAGATGTACGAGGAAGCAGAGGCGATCCTGACGAAGCCACCAAAACATGTCCAGGAGGACGCTGACCCAGTGACCGAGTCCTGATCCCTCCCTTACCCCCCCCGGTTTAGTGATCTTTGCACAGCCCTTCTCCTGCCTCCCCTACGACCACAGAACAACCGCTAAGACTAAGCGCTTCCGTTTGGTCCAAACGGAGACCCGTGAAGATCCGGTCGCCGCTCGACTTCCCCCCCTACAGGCAGGACAAAGGAACTCCAGCGTCTGTAACCCAAACATGTCTAATGCTGTCTGAGACTTTTTTTTAATTTTCTAACCAGGAAGAGTACTTAACCAAATACTGTGGTCGGACGGATTTCTTCTTCTTCAGTAACGATCGGATCCCGGAAACAAAGACGGGGGTTAGATCAACGTTCTGTCCTTTTCTGTCACGACGAGAATACAGCATGTTGTCGCGTCGCCGCAGCGATTCCTCGAACCTCTCCAATGACGAACACTAACGAGGAATCCTGCTGTTCAGAAACAAAACATCAACAACAACAACAAAAAAAAATCAAGAATTTGTGGAACCTCCCTGTCCACGCCCCCTCCCTGACCTGCGACCCGATTTGTGCTTCTGCTTCTCCTGCTTCTCGGCCACTTCCTTTTTGTATTTCCTGTATCTCTGACAATCAGACATCACTTCTGTTTGACTCCGCCCCCTGATCCCTCTTACCCCGACCCCCGAAGCACGGCAACACACACTGAGTACGTGAGATTAGCATGACCTCATCCTCTACCTTTTCTGGACCTTTGCTTTGTCCCCCAGCCACCGCTTTGATATAAATGAGTGACGCGGGGGGGCCCTCGTCCATGACTTCGTTTCCACCCGTAGTACTACTAGTCCCCTGGTGGACTTTTGAAGGCGCCGGACTCCGCCTTCTTACCCGCGCGCTTCGCCCTCCGCCGCATGCACGACCTAGCATGTCAAATGTGGAACATCGCCCCTGACGCGTTTCCCTTCCGTCTCTTGGACTTGCGAAACCCCCCTCCCCCAATGCAATATCACTGTCAGTCTGTGGGTGACGTGGGGGAGAGAGAGAGAGAAAGAGAGAGAGCGTGGATTCCCAGGGAAACGCTCATTTCCATCGGCTTGTTTTTTTTAGATGTACGAGGAAGCAGAGGCGATCCTGGAAAAAAAAAGGCTCATAGAGAGAGGGTTTGCAGATCAGCTGAGTGATGATGTCAGAGCAGATCTATTTATTATGTGTCTGTACCATAGAGTGCGCTAGACCAGAGAAGAAAAAAAGGTTATTTATATTTTTTTCTCGAGACTGTATTATAATTTAATTTGTTTTTTTTGTTTGTTTATTTTTTTTTGTTTGTTTTTTTTTCCTTTTCTGCCTGAATCGTGTTTTCCCTTGTTAATGTGTACAGTATGTTTTCCGGGCGTCGACCCAGAGAAACGTACAATCCTATCGAAAGGGATACATTGTTAATAAAACTAAATTTGAAAACATGAAAATCGAGTATCGGATTGGTTTAAAATAGTTGACAGCGGTCCCTCGTTTATCGCAGTAGATCGGTTCCTGCCGCGAGAACTGAATTTTCGCGAAGTAGCCACACCATATTTATGCGCAGTAAAATGATGGCGAGGAAGGTGACAATGATTTTTACTGCGCAGCCGATGTCTCGCCACAGGGTGGTGCCATTTCTTGGGGGCACCTCTTCCACAGTTTCCAAAAGTGTATCGGTTTTTTTGCGAGGCTGCAAAAACATTGCGATCAGCAGTTGCTTCCGCTGCTTCTTTTTTCAGTCAAAGACTAGCTCGTAGGCAGTCACGACGTTGTCAATTTTGTCGCAAAATTGGACCGATCGAACCGTATCGTCATCCCCATTCCTGTGACATCTCTCGCAGATCCAAATCAGGAATACAGTAGATTCTGTGTATACAGTTTTTTTAAAAAAAAAGTCGTGAATCCGAGAAAGATGAACCGCGAAATAGCGAGGGACTTTTCCCGCTTGTATGTTGATACATAATTTTTTTTTAATCAAAAATATAATTTTTTTTTACAAGTCACAAACAAATTTGACGTGTTATTAATAAGAATATTTATTCGTATAATAAATATTTTGAGTGATTGCACATTTGATCAACTATCGGGTGAAGTGCTGGAGTGCGTTTCATGAAATCACGTGAAACGGTGCAAGTTTAAAGTTTCCACCTTAAAAAAAAAAAAAAAAAATCACTTAAAAAAAAACATTTGTTTCCTCACACTCCTACTCACCGGAGTCTCTCTTCGCGCTATTGCACTGTTCAGAAATATTGCACAACTGTGAGTTGATGTTGTTGACGGTCCTTGAAGTCCGTCTGCGGCGGAGTTGCCGCCGTCTGTTTCCAGTCTGTCAGGTAGGTAAAACTCGCCGTCGACCGTTTTCGCGTAGCTTCTCATAAACGGTCGACTCTCTCCTCGGCGTCCGCGGCCGAGCTCGAGTTTGTGTCTTTTGCGGCAAACATTGGATTGCCATTGGACTCCGCCTCCTCTTTTGCGTCGCTGGCTCGGTAGGCCGTGTTGTCGTAGACGTGTCTCTGCGGCTCCGGCTCCTGAATGGCCTTCTGTTTCTCCAGCTGCTGCTGCAAACGGAACGACCTGTTGGTCCCAGGCTAATAGTTATACTCCACTAAGTGGCAGCAGATGGCTATGAAAACTAAAAAAAAAAGTATCGGCGTCTTTCTTCAATTCCTGCGAGTATAGCATTATTTTCAACTAAACTGCCGACGGTTCCGATACCGAAGTAGCTGAGCAGCACAGGGAGGAATATGAGTCCGTGAGCCATCCCCAGCAGCGTGATGACGAGGTTCAGTCGGAAGAAGAAAATCTGGATCAGCTGGGCTTTGGCTAGAGCTAGTACCAGGATCCCCGGGAGGTTGGTCATCGCAACGCCGGCAAAAACCTGCGGAATGAAAAAAAATGAAATTTATGTCCTGCACTAATTTTTTTGCGGTATATATTTTATTTGCACGTTGAAACTGTAAAGTTTCTTAAGGAAAAATGTTAAAAGTAAAATGAAAAATAAATTAAAACTAAAAATATATATTAATTAAAGATGAATGACGATATAAACTAAATATAAAATATATGTTAGCGGCTTTCAATACGAGGTCAGCGGCACCCTTAAGGGACCACAGAAGAAATGTCGCACATTTTTTTAGTTGATTTTGTACTTTGTGTAATTTGAATATTTTAAAAAAATTATACATATATACAAAATATATATACATACATATAATGTAAAATGTGGTGATGTAAAAAAAAAGGTAAAATAAATATATATTTTGTATATATTCAAATATTTGGATGTTTAGAAGAGCAATTTCGATTTTTTTTTTATAGTTTATAATGTGACTTTGTTTCTTTCCTCTCCTTGAATTGCAACCTTAACGTGGTGGAGGGGTTTGAGTATCCGAATGAACCTAGGAGCTATGTTGTCGGGGGCTTAACGCCCCTGGTAGGGTCTCCCAAGGCAAACAGGTCCTAGGCGACGGATCAGACAAATAGCGGTTCAACCCCCCCCTT